AAGTAAAATAATTGTCACGTGAAGGGAAAATGATTCATAGTTCTTTAAAGTTTTACCAAAACCAAAACTTTCTTTTAAGTCTTTTTTCTGATACCCATAAATAAAATCCAGCCCATCATGTGTAGAATCTCAGTATAGTTCCAGCAGGTCTGTGAAGGCATCATAGGTTCCTCTAAGAACTGCAAACCTTCCCGGACTTGGCCGTCCACTTAAACTGCACCGGACGAGCAGAGCGGCTGCAGAGATTCAGAGCTTAGGTGGGAGTATTTGTTTACGGGACAAGGGTTTGCTGTTTAAAAAGTGACTTAAAAGGAAAAACTGGCTGAAAGGAAGCTGCAAAAAGTCTAGTTATGAGTTTGCCATGTAAGGGACACAACTATTACATGCAGGGAAGGTGCTCCAATCACATCAGACTATAATTAAACTCCCTATCTAGCATACATCATGTGAAGGACCTTAATGCAGCATCCCTGCACTGATTCATGCTATAGGATCTTTTTTGTTTCAGCAGGGACAGTGAAAATGGTCAGGGATGATTAGGTCCAATGCTAGGAAACTTTGAATGAAATGTGCACGTTTCACCTCCTAAAGAAAAAACTAAATGTAAATCCAGCAGCATGTTAAAGTAAAAATGTCTAGAGCGTTTCACACTTTAGATGAACAAACCTGGCAGCAGTTTACCACAAAAGACTTGCAGCTGTAATCTGCAAAACATGTTACCTCAACACCATTAAAGGCAACACCTATTTATTTTGTTTTCATTTGGTTTTCTAATCATGCACCACTTTACGCTTGCTTTCTACCCCAGTAAAACACACAAGTCTGTCTGGCTGCAATTTAAAAATGGGAAAATGTTTAAGGGTTGTGACTGATTGCAGTATGTTTTCCATGATGTCCCTCAGCATCATTGGAGGAAAAAAAATATGAGGATGGAGTAAAATCTTCATTTTTTTCAAAAACACTTTCTTCTCTCCTATACCTCAGTGAGGATGTGACATTCGAAGACTGTTTTTTTTTTTCTGGGATGTGAGCGTTGTTATATAGATTTGCTCAGACTAGCAGGATCATGGACGTCTGCTCTCATCAGGAACGAAGAAACCTCCTACCACAGGCTGTGGCTGACTCTGTCAGATCATGCTTTATACAGTTAACTTTTAAAACCACCTTTTATATTATCATTATTAAGATATGCAACACCCGCCAATTTTCCAGCACGGCCTGTAATTGCTACATATTCTGAGCTGCATGTGCCACATTAATATAATATGTCTGCTCTGTTGTCTGTAAACACACAGCAATCACAATACCCGACCCTTTCAGAAGCTTCCTCAGTGTCCGCTAAGAAAAGCGCCGTGTTCTCCTTTATTCACCGAGCCGCTGTGCAGCACTTACACTCAGACACATTACATTTGACACCTCCAGCTCAGACTGACCCCTGTGTTACAAGTGTGTGCCTGTGAGCAGCAGTATGAGTCATTAGCGTGCGGCTGTGCCTTTGAATCACTTTGAGGAAAATGCTTGTTAGGCTTCCAGCGAGCTTCACATGATGGGGACGATCAGGACACAAACCCAAAATGACTCACCCTGTCTTCCCTACAGGCAGACAAGTTATACCTCTGCATCTTTTTATTTGGGAAAACACACTCAGTTCAAGAGCTCTTTTTTAAATGTGTAATATTGTTATAAAAACACCTTAGAGGAACTTTGTAGAGCAGATTCAGCATAATAATCCTGTAAAAAAAAAATCTGCTTCCAGCTTATTTCATTGCCAGTTTTCCGTTTAGGTGAGCTGCAACCTGACCACAAACCGTCCCATGAGCCAGACTTGCTCATCTTTAGATGTGGAAAAATAAACAAGATGTGAAATGCACTTTTTGATGCTGCAACATCAGATTTATGCTTTCAGTTTCAGCCAGGAGGAAGCGAAGCATCAAGGGCTGCAGGTAGACTCTAATGCTTCTGTGGAGAACAAAAATACCTTATGGAAAATAACAGCATGTTCTGAGAATCCATTACACTATTTATAGTTTCATACAGCTGTCCGTCACTTATTCCCACTTTTTTCCTCTTACAGTTGTGGTCAAAAGTGTACCTACACTTGTAAAAAATCATAATGTTATGGCTGTCTTGAGTCTTCAATAAGTTCTACAACTCTTATTTTTCTGTGATAGAGTGATCGGAACACATACATGTTTGTCACAAAAAACAGTCATAAAATTTGGTTCTTTCATAAATTTATTATGGGTCTGCTGAAAATGTCACCAAATCTGCTGGGTCAAAAATATACATACAGCAACAAAATTTGTCAACTTTGGTGATGTAGCGAGTTGTGTCAATCAAATTAGCTTCATGTCATGGCCTCTTCACTTCTTCTAAGTGATTCTGATTGACTACAGCTGTTGACTTCTCATGAGCCCATTTAAATAGGGCTCATTTGACCCAGTGATTAGACTCAGCTACAAAAGCTACAATGGGAAAGTCAAAGGAACTCAGTGTGGATCTGAAAAAGCGAATTATTGACTTGAACAAGTCAGGGAAGTCACTTGGAGCCATTTCAAAGCAGCTACAGGTCCCAAGAGCAACTGTGCAGACAATTATACGCAAGTATAAAGTGCATGGAACAGTTGTGTCACTGCCACGATCAGGAAGAAAACGCAAGCTATCACATGCTGCCGAGAGGAGATTGGTCAGGATGGTCAAGAGTCAACCAAGAATCACCAAGAAGCAGGTCTGCAAGGATTTGGAAGCTGATGGAACACAGGTGTCAGTCTCCATAGTCAAGCGTGTTTTACATCGGCATGGACTGAGAGGCTGCCGTGCAAGAAAGAAGCCCTTGCTCCAGAAAAGGCACCTTAAGACTCGGCTGAAGTTTGCTGCTGATCACATGGACAAAGATAAAACCTTCTGGAGGAAAGTTCTCTGGTCAGACGAAACAAAAATTGAGCTGTTTGGCCACAACACCCAGCAATATGTTTGGAGGAGAAAAGGTGAGGCCTTTAATCCCAGGAACACCATGCCTACTGTCAAGCATGGCGGTGGTAGTATTATGCTCTGGGGATGTTTTGCTGCCAGTGGAACTGGTTCTTTGCAGAAAGTAAATGGGATAATGAAGAAGGAGGATTACCTCCAAATTCTGCAGGAAAACTTAAAACCATCAGCCCGAAGGTTGGGTCTTGGGCGCAGTTGGGTGTTCCAACAAGACAATGACCCAAAACACACATCAAAAGTGGTAAAGGAATGGCTAAACCAGGCTAGAATTAAGGTTTTAGAATGGCCTTCCCAAAGTCCTGACTTAAACCCCATTGAGAACATGTGGACAGTGCTAAAGAAACAGGTTCATGCAAGAAAACCATCACATTTAGCTGAACTGCACCAATTCTGTCAAGAAGAGTGGTCAAACATTCGACCTGAAGCTTGCCAGGACCTTGTGGATGGCTACCAAAAGCGCCTAGTTGCCGTGAAAATGGCCAAGGGACATGTAACCAAATACTAATGTTGCTGTATGTATATTTTTGACCCTGCAGATTTGGTTACATTGTTTTTTGTGACAAACATGTACGTGTTCCAATCACTCTATCACAGAAAAATAAGAGTTGTAGAACTTATTGAAGACTCAAGACAGCCATAACATTATGATTTTTTACAAGTGTAGGTACACTTTTGACCACAACTGTATGCAACATTTCAGCTGCAGCTACCTGCTCTGCTGCAATGATCACATTTGAATCCGTTCCCCATTTAGTATTTGATATTCTGCTTATTAATTGAACTGCATCATCCAGTTTAGCTTTAAGGGTTCTCCAGATTATGAAGTTAGCATTTCATTCCCTTACCTGCGGCAGAAACCTGGGCTGATGCTATTAAGTTTGGGGTTAGTTTTTTTTGTGTGGCTATTTTCCTATTTAAACAACTTTTCCCCTGGCAAACACTGCTGCTTGTGTCAACCTGCCTTGTCTCATGCTTGTCAGTCCGCCTTAAGTCCACAAAGCCGTAAATCTGCAGTTTTCAGCAGACTGTCATTTGTGCAGCAGATGATGAGGATACATTTCTGGAAACGATCGTGGCAGACTCATGGTCAGCTGATTTTCCAGATCTAGTCAGAGGAATTTGTCAGTGTATTTTTATCTACCGGTATTTATTATTTTTCTCGGAGGGCAGAGGTTCTTCTAAAAATCCACAATGCGAAAACTGTCTATTTTTATTGAAAGTGTTGCCCTACAGTGCAAAACTCCCACAATCATTTAACTGAATATCAATAAATCTGCATAGCTATTTTTTTATAAGCTGTACTTTATAAAAGTCTGCACCGGCATACCGGTTTCACCTCTATGAGGAAAGCTGCTTTTTGCTGAAGGCCACAATAGCCTCAACTTTGAATGTAGGAAGCCTTCGGTGTGCAGAGGCGTTCATAGTTGACGCAGACACATTGTGTCTGTGGTTAAGAAGGCGTCAAACTGAGCCAGTGTTTTTAGGAAAATGAAGTGAAAGCCTGCAGAGTTGATTTAATTGATAAGCAGTACCTGCAGACTTATTTCCTGCTAACTTTGGTTCAGTTTTTGATAGAAAGATAGGATATGTATCGTTTTCATCTGAGGTTGTTTTAAATATGAAAATACGAGTTACATTTAGTAGTAGATCTGTGCCAAAAAAATAAGCAAACAATTCATTTTATTTGTAAGGTTTTGCAAAAAAAAAAAAAAAAAAATCAACAACCCCTCAGATAACAGTTCTGTCTGTTTTCCTTTCGTTAATTGCTTCATCAAATAATCTGAAAACTGTAAAATAGGATGCATGTTCAGAAACAGTTCAAGCCCAGACTAACTTAAAGCTACAGAGACAATCTCCGCTCCTGAATATGACGCTGAATATTGATCAGAGACCATATGAGCTCACTGTGACTCTGACCTTTTGGGATATTGTGAGTTATGGATAAAAATGTGTTTTGTGAGATCATCGTGACCTTTTGCAAACACAACTAATCTGTGCCCTGTTTTCTCCAGGTACAAGGAGTTGATGACAGGAAAGGTTGCCAGAGAGATCATAGCTATTTTATGGATCCTGTCTTTTGTTATCGGCCTTATTCCCTTCTTTGGGTGGAACATGAAGGATTCACAGTGCAAGAACGAAAGCTTCAACTACACTAAGGGGTGCCCCTGCCTCTTCGAGAAAGTGGTGGACATGAAGTACATGGTGTACTTTAACTTCTTTGTGTGCGTGCTGGTGCCGCTGCTCATAATGCTGGTCATCTACGTGAAGATCTTCACCGTGGCCAGGAAGCAGCTGAGGCAGATCGAGCTCAAGTGCGTGGGCAACGGGGACAGCCAAAACCAAGGCCTGCTGCAGAAGGAGATCCGGGCCGCCAAATCCCTCTCCATCATCGTTGGACTCTTCGCCCTCTGCTGGCTGCCCGTCCACATCCTCAACTGCCTCACGCTGTTCTACAGCGGGCTGCAGAGGCCAGATCTCGTCATGTACGTGGCCATCATTCTGTCGCACGCCAACTCAGCGGTCAACCCGATCATCTACGCTTACCGCATCCAGGACTTTAGGAATACCTTCCGCAAAATCCTGGCCCAGCACTTCCTCTGCCACAAGGAGGAGCTTTACCTCAGCTCCAATGGCAGCAGGCGGAACAGAGACCAGATCAAGATGACTATCGATCCTTTGCTATAGAGGACTGTATCAACATCATTGTCTTGAGTTTCTAATGTTTACAGAGCAATGTGAAGATGAACCGATGTCAATCCCCCTTGAATGTAGACTATTTATGATTCGGGTTGGGGGTGGGGACTGTGAACTGTTTAGAAAGTCTTAAATAACTTGTTTTTACTGAAAGAGTTTTAATTGGTAAATAGTTGAGGCTAACTGGATTTGTAATACTTTGCGGAGGATCCAAAACTAAGAAGCTATTTATTGTTCTGAATTCCCCCTGTTCCAACTACAAACACTCCTCTTTTTGTGCCCTGCTGTTTTTATACTCCCAACATTCAGTGCCAGTGTTAAAATTATTTATTTATTACAAATCATGTCTTTTGAGAATGTAATGATCAAAAAAATGTGTGTGTGCAAGCGTGGCTAGATCTGTACTTGTGGAGCTAAACAAAAGTACAGTGGTAGTAATCCTTACCTGTGGGTGTTCTGCTGCTCACAGACCTTTCAAATGAAATCATCTTCCTTCATCCCTTTGTTGAGAGCAGGAATAGTTCTTTTCAGCCTGAATTTATTGATACATTTAATTAGGAAGGAGGCCTTAAGGGTGAAAGGGTCCATCTTTGCATATCATCCATTAGTAAACGCTTCTCTTAGATAAGCGCACCTCACTATTTCTTAAACAAGTGCCAAGTTTGTAAAGAGCTAAAAGGTTCATTTAAAGAGTTGGTTTAGCATTTTAGCTATAAAATTCAGCTCAAAAGAACAGCAAATCGCATTTAAGACCTTTTAAAGCTTATTGTTATTCAAACTGGAGACCTGTATATCCTGCATGAATGACAATAACATGCATCTGGTTCCAAAAACTCCTGTGCTTTTCCATTTTCATTACCTGACGTTAAGACCTTTAAAAGCTGCTCGTTACAGCCATATTGGTGAAATTTGTCATTGCAATTGTGTGTAACAATGAAATTTTTCTTCTGTATTGAACACATCCAGAGCTTGGAGTGCCTGGGGAGAAACCTGGGGAAATGAGAGTGGCAGTCTGTTGGGTCTTTACTGGCTACCCGCAGCCTTTTCAGAAACTAAAACAAGTGACAGTTAAAAACATTTATCCAGGATGGACGCCATGCTTGATTTATAGAGTTCAAAACATGAAAACATACATTTATAAACAGTCACGGAAAAACTATTTTGGACAACCTTTTTTTGTTCAGGTAATATACCTTTAAAACAAGAAATTAAAAGAAAAGGTATAATCAAAATTTGGGACTATATATATAATGCAAGACATTCCTCAATTAAGAACGTTTGCATGGAGAATGTCAACATTTTAAAGGTTTTAAGGCCTAAATTGAGATTATAGTATTTGCATTACTAATTAAGCATGTGTAAAGAATTCTGGTAAAAATGTAATAACTGTGGTAAATGACTGTTGGGGTCTTTAAGTTTTAGAGATTAGTTTCTCCTGGATTTTAAAGCTGATGGCTAATCTGAACAACACAATTCCACTATTAACTTAAAAAACACTAAGCTGTGTACTTTGGTTCTTTATACAATTCAGTAGCAAAAATGTCAAAGTATTTCAGGCAAACACTGTTTAATCAAATGCTTCACCTCTATTCTGTTCTTTGCTTGGAGGACAAATGATTTAATTTTAGAGATCTACAATCATGTTCAATGAGAATCAATCTTTCCCAGTCAGAGAAACTTTCTAAAATATGAGTAATGCACTTTATTATTTAAATTAGGTCCTCGGCATGTTTTAAAGGGAAAATCATTACTAGCACATCACAAGCTAATTGACAGAAATGAATGTTATCTGGAAAGAACTACAGGATCTAAATATCTAATTGTTCAGGTAAACTCAGCTTTACAGAACCCTAAAAAGCCATTACAGGTACATTGCATACATATGTTTTTAAATAATTAATCATACTATTCATCAATTAATTTAATAATAAAATTATTAACTTGAGTATTTAGATATCTAAAACAAGTTACTTGCTGAGAGAACATCCCTCTCAAAGCAGTAATTCAGTCCAGATAGATTATTGTTAATTGCAGCTCTTTTTCTAAGTAAATTATTAATGGCAGCAGTGTGATCAATGGTTATGGTGTTTGGAGGAACCCTGATGTGTTTTCATCTTTAGCTGCAGGACCAGCTAATCCAGATTTAGCTAATATAGAAAAGAACTCTTTTAATATAAAACAGAACCTTTTTCAAAATGCAATGCGTTTTTACTTTATTAACGTTGAAATAAGACACTTTTTGCATCGTCTTTTAACCACCCTTTTGTCTATTCCACAGGAAACGGTTAGGGTGTCTGATTCTAACTCTCAGAGGAAAGTTCGTTCAGCCTCAAACTCACCTTCGGTTTCATTACCCTCATATAAGCTCAGGAAGTGAACAGGTTGAACCTTGTATAGTGATTTTGCATCGGCACAGAGACTTTTAGCTGCTTTATACTGAACCACATGATGAGACTTCAAATCACTGGTCCGTTACATAACCCCCCCCCATCAGCCAGGCTTCAGTCGCACCCCCTGCAGAGGCTTACATAAGACTCCACAGCTGTCAGTCCTCTGGGTATATGAGTAATATTTTTCCTCAACCCTTCCCCAACAGTCACTCCTAAAAGTCCAAGAAATTAAATATTTATTAACAAAAAATAATTTTAATCATTTAAGTATAAAGCACTGATGGACCTCAACTAAGCCGAACAATGTCAGGGGGTCCGTTCCACAAAGCAGGTTTACAGAAAGCTCTTTCTAGACCCGAAATCAGGAAAGTTTGCCGTCTCAAAAAGAGAGTTTCCTCAACCTCTGTTACCATAGTAACCTTCTCCCATGAGCCAACCTGTTCAGGAGCAGGTTTTCCTCAAACTCAAGTGTCCTCTGTCTCCGCTCTCCTTAAAGCCAATCACGTTTTATTTCCTGGTTTAATCAGAACACTTCTAGTGTAGTTTTGTGCAAAAAATAAAAAGGAAATCAGTCACTGCATCATTTGTTAGACACAAACATAGCATGTCCTTTAGACACTCCAATCAAAGAATGAGTGGCATTAATTCGCAGAGAAATATTTATAGGGAGAGGGTCATCAGACGTTCTTTCATATTCAGAAAGTTATATTTATACTGTTTCGCCTCACAATCCATCACGACCATCCTGACCTTATCCTTCCTCATATTTGCAGCATTACACAGACATCTTTAACAGGGATTAGACAGAACTTGACGACAGCCACTTAGTATTTACTGTGTAATGGAAGACCGGATCAAACTGAGGATGAACCCCATGAGATGATGCACCGGTTAGGACATTTTTATACTTCATCTTCACCTGCTGACAGGTGATTGCACATAAATCCACTACCATTCAACAACTAGTTTTCTGCTATGTTTTTTTTTTTTTGGTTATACCAGGCTATGGCAGACCGTTAAGGTATTTATTAGTCTGAAAAGGTATCTGTGATATCTGAAATACATTTTACCTTGTCAAAATAAACGTTTTTAAGAAAAATCATATTCTTCATATCTAAAACAAACATTCCGGATGTCTAGAAACAAATTTCAGATCTCAATATTCATTATTGTTACTGGACATATTTTGATTAGGAAGAAATTTATTTCAGATATGAACAGATACTCAGTCTGCTGATAAATGTCTAAATGGCCTATTAAAACGTATAAAGATTTCCAGGCATATGAAACTTAATTCTTACTAAAACAATATTTTCTTTTTACTTTCTGAAATTCAGTTTCTGCTGCAAAAATGTAATTTGGGAAATCTATCAGAGTTCCAAATAGACGTGTTTTTGATAAGAATCTTATTTTAGTGATCTACAAATGGCACAACAGAGCGGAGAGTGTTTTAATTGAGCGAACCTACTCAGAGTTGATCAAACTAATTCATAGCAGCCTTTGTGAAATCGAAAACTCACCAAAGGTTGGAAACTCGAATTCCTCAATTCAGAGTTGAGGATTTGAGTCAACTTTGTTAAACCTGTTTGTGAAACGGATCTGAGGTGTGCCAACACAAACCAGTGAAGCAGATAGTAAATATCGTTAAACATATAGGCACTATGATATGAAGAAAAGCTTTACAGCTGCAGGAGAGGCTGTTTTATGAACTAACAGACTGTTCAGATCACCTGGGAGTCTTCACTACTCATATGAACAATGCTGACATTCTATTTTACCGTTTTATGCGCTTCATCTGTGTTCTGACGTGGAGCGCTGGGTCTGTGCTGCCGTTCTATCTTTCTGCATTTGTTGGTTTTCCTCCTCTGTCTGACTTCAAGGGCTAAAACACAGGAGTGCCAAAACGTTTGGGGCCATTCCAAAGGAGACGTCTAAACTGTAACCTTATCTAATTTTGTCTTTGTTGACTTTTGTGTGACAATAAGTACTGTAGGTGTCCGGCTTCCTGCTCGATGTCAAACTGTTGCCTTTCTATTTTATTTTAAAAGTAATACTGCCAATGGCAAGTTCAACATTCCTTCACTTCATTCCCAAGTTCCTGTTTTTTAAGTGTGCTATTTTGTTGTTACTAATCAGGAAAATGCCTCCACTGTGGTCAAGCTGATGTCCAACTTTCTCTCCAGAGGCACTTTGTTCGTTCAACAAAACTACAGCCGATGTTGCTATTTAACATGATGCAATCTGTATGTATGGTGAATTATTTTGTTAATAAAGGCAATGTTTATATTGGTAAGATTGGATTTTATTCCCACATTTTAAATAATAATTTATATTTAGTAGCTGTGCATGAGAAGGAAATGATAGCCGTGCAATAGAAGTAAGGAAATGACCTCAGTGTCCAGATGTTCTTACTCCCTAACCGATGGAGCTTCAGACAGAAAGCAACTAAAAATAAAGCTGCCAGTATTTGAGATGAAGAACATTACTAGAAGAAAAAACAGTAACATCCGTGGTGTTTCAGATAACAGAAACCAGGCCAGTGTTTCAGGGATGTAGACAGGGAACCGGCTCCGTTTTCTGGTCCGCTCCCTGTTACTGGGCCCCGGTGCCGCTGAGCAGTGCAGACATCTGCTGATCAGAGACAGTCTCCTGCTGAGTCACAGCCATAGCCTGGCACAGGTAGATGGCCAGGATGTGTTTGCACTGAGGAAAAATAAATAAATAAAAGACAAAATCATCACACAGATACCGGAAGCAAAATGATTAATGTAACGGATATGAAGCTGTAATGAGAGTCCTTAGTAATTCCCACTAAAACGCCTCATCAAAGAAACCCTTAGTCTTAGAGTGTGAGTCACACAGCAAATGCCAGACTAATTTCAGATATCAGTCCAGATCTAAATGTACATCAGCAGCGTAAATGATGGCAGGAGTTATTGGACTTTATTAATTCCTAGAAGCTTGCTATTCAAGGCCTTATTGCTGGATTACAGCAGTTTAACAGCTTTTTATTACGGTCCCGACAGATGTTCTAAAATAACAGCTGGCTGTTGGAACAGGACAATCTTCAACCTGCTGACCAGCCAAATGGGGAAAAAAAATTTAAATGTTTTTTTCTAATCAGTGAAGAAGTGTTAGGAAAATTATCATTGATGATGTGTCAGTTTATAACAATTCAATTCAATTCAGTTTATTTATATAGCGCCAAATTCACAACACATGTCATCTCAAGGCACTTTACAGTTCAACCAGATCATACAGTCAAATTGATACAAAGTTTTCTATCTAAGGAAAACCAGTTGATTGCATTGACTCATTGACTCAAATACAATCCCCCACACTAAGCATGCTTGTAGCGACAGTGGAGAGGAAAAACTCCCTTTTAACAGGAAGAAACCTCCAGCAGAACCAGGCTCAGTGTGAGCGGCCATCTGCTGAGGCCGACTGGGGTTCAAGGAGACAGAACACCTTAATATAAGCTGCCTGTTGCGTGTTCGAACTGATGTTTTCCACAATAGTTTATCTAATTAAGACAGTTCCTCTGTCTGGATATACAGTTATAATCTTCATTCTGTACGTGGCAAAGATTTGGAAATGAAATGAGAGCGGTGTCCTTCAGCTAAGAACAAAGTGTAATATTTTGATAAGGCTGGAGCCATGGATGTCTACTCATCTGCTAACATGTATGATGTAATGATGTGGCAAACTGGAATTGTATAAAATGGCTTTTCAACTGTTAATCGGGGCCACTTCCTGAGAGGTGAGCCCAGAGTTGAGCAGCTGCCTTCTGTAAACTCTAAGCAACTTCTCTGAAACGTGGCTAGTTTCAATATCTAATCGGATTTAAGAAATAAATTTAGAAAAAGACACGAAACAGAAGCTGTTTGGAAAGAAAACTATTCCCCACAGCAGGTGGGCACAAATCCTAGATTCAAGTTGCATGGGAACGAGAGAGAGCGAGACTTTCAGCAGATAACTAGCCTGACGTAGTCCTACTCAATTCTAGTCAGAATATGAGTCTGATACTGCTCCATAGAGCTGTGATTATGGGGCGTGTTTCCAACGAACCAGGAAAAAAAAATGCCTCTGCACTCAATTGGATAGACCTACAACCAATAAGAGCAAAGGAGTGTGTGACGTATGTTAAGAGACGCATAGTTGTTGTCAACAAAAATCAAAGCGTGCAGTTGCACGCCTAGAATAAGAAGATGAGCCTTGATCGCATTTCTCTGTTCCTCTTTTAAAATTAATTTGCTGACGATATCTTCTAGAACAGACCTAATAGCAGAATCTACTCACCTAAACTCTCCAGCGGCAGCCATTATTGTTGTCACCCAAGCACGCTTTGGTGACGTGGTTGATTACGTTACTGTTGATCATCTGTCCATCATTGTATAAAGCCCGCCCTGACAATTTGATTGGCCCGCCATATATTGTGCGAGCATACTCGCGCTACTATTGAGCAATGCCAGACCGAACTTCCCGACCTCAAACGTTGTGGGCAGGACTAAGTTCGGAATGGCACCCAGGCTAGCAGATAACAGCAAGGCTGAAAACGGTAGAAAAATGTTGCACTGTTGTATCTAAGTGCCGTTTACTGATAGTGATGCTAACTTTGCCACTTGCAAATATAGGATTTTAAATTCTACACTCACAGCTATTGTTGCATTTGTAGCAACTAATGTCAATTGGGAAAAAAAAAATCTAAACTAGCCTGAAAATTTCTGATCACTTCATTACTAGTTTTCAACCTCAAGTCGTCACTTGAGTTTTCCTCAACTCTAAAATGTACGGTGGCTTAAGTTGATCACTTCTGTAACTTTTTCCTTGTGAATTTTACACTTTTTATTGTTTGACTACAGTTTCTGCCGAAGCAGGTCTGCTCTCAGTATGGAAGGGCTGAAGATTTTGGAGCTGCTTGTACAAGAGCTCAGCTTTTTCTCCTCTGACCTACTTCTCTGAACAAAATGGACCTGGTCCATACTGCAATGAGCCGAGCCAAGTTAGTCTACATGTTCCCTGAATGGACTCTGTGACTCCAGCTGCTTAGAACATAAAAAAATACACAAAAGACTAGAGTGAGTCCCTTTCCTAAGCCTGACTTTAGTAGTCGTGTTGAAGATGTTCTGCTGTCCGTCTTTTTTCATGGGGAGTGGTATTAATGTTCCTGATATGCTCATGGGGAGTCTCCATGCTCTGCTGCAGCTCTTCGTTTCTCACACTGATTTTAGCTGCATCCTCCAGGGAGAACAATCAACCCCGCAGGCAGAGAAGGAGTAGAGCTTGTTTGTTTCAAGATATTCAGGGAGAGACCGAAGGGGAGACACCCATCAGTGACCAGACAAAAATACAACCCAACCACAACGCATCTGTGCACACACTGCAGGGTGTGCTTCGTCTCAGTTGACAGGCCAAAGGTTTTTCTCCGAGATGCATGCTTCACTGAGAAGACAGCGAGGCAGAGAAACAGGTTTTTAACATCTGTAAACGTTTCTGTACACAATGTACAATGCAGTGATGTTATCGCAGGTATTTTTAGAGTTCAGCTTAAATGTAAGCAGAAAAACGAAGCTTCCTTTAAGAACTACAGGTTCCTTAAAATAGTAAACTCCCCTGAAGAACAAGGGAATAAACAGCTGTTCCTTTGCTGGAACATCTTGTAATAAATTGTTGAGTCTTTGACACCAAAATACTGAAAAACAAGTATTTTAAAAGAAAAATCTTTAAGATTTTAACATCTAGCCTCCAAACATTTTTTTTTTTTTATCTGGACCTAAACATTAAAGAGAGTTAGTTACCACAGGCTTTTTGTAAGATGCAAGTTCAAAAGATAAATCAAAGTCATGTTAAAAGGGAGTGATAGAGAGAGCCAAAATTGGTATCTGGCATGCCAGTATTGGAAATGGTATAAACCAGTTACCAACTGGCACAAGCCAGTGTGCAACTGGCATAAGCCGGTCCCCAACTGGCATAAACATGTTCACAACTGGCATAAGCCATTCCCTAACTGGCATAAACCTTTTCACAACTGGCATAAACAGGTTCACAACTGGCATAAACAGGTTCACAACTGGCATAAGTCGGTCCCCAGCTGGCATAAGCCGGTTTGCAACTGGTATAAGTTGGTTCTTAACTGGCATAAGCCGGTGGGAAAAGCCATTCCCCAACTGGCATAAACTAGTTCGCAACTGGCATATGCCACTTTTGGGTCCAGGTGCTGCTGTTAAAAGGAGCAGCCTGATGAGACAGTTTCATGTTTGCAATGTTTGTTTATAAATACATGCATTGGATGTTTAGAAACAGAGGTGCAGGAATATTGATGAGCTGACTCACTAGTTATTCAAAGTATTTATAAATTCTTAATATCTCTCGAGTATGGTAAGGAAATAACACACTAATACCTGTAATATTGAGTTACAGGTATTAGTGTTTTTGCTTTCAACTAATTTGTGTAACTGAACCTTTTTTGGGAAACTCACCAGCAGCCCTTGGTTTCTGCGTAGAACAGTATAGGTGAAAGCCGGGCAGGGGCAGTAGTGGCAGGACAAGAAGCAAGTGTACAAACGACCCGAGCCTCCAACTACCTGCAAAGAATTCATGCAAACTAGATTAAGACTTGACTACGTACGGTTGTATATTTGCCTTTTGCCGCCGGTTCTACATGAAAACAAGCCTATGTTTTGTTGAATAGCTGGGAGAAGGCGGGTAACTCATCACAGCCTTTTATATATCAGCACACATATTGGTTTAGCTGCAGGAATCCTCAAAAGATTGAAGAAATACAGCAGCTTGCAAAAGTTTTTGTAACCCTCAAACTCAAACTTTTCAATATTTTGTCACATTACGACCAAAAGAAATGAATCTTATGTGGAATCTTGTGAAAGATCAACACAAAGTCGTATAGAATTGTGAATTAGAACGAAAATTGTACATGATATAGAAAAAAAAATTCAATTCAAAAACTAAATAAAATGCAGTGTGAAAAAGTATTCAGCTCCCTTTTCACCGACTACAACCAACCGCCTTCAGAAGTAGCTTTATGATTGCTAATGACTGAAAAGAGTCCACCTGTGAGTGTGATCTCTGTGAGGGCCTCAGAGGTCTGGTTAGAGAATATCGGGGTGCAAACAGCATCATAAAGTCCATTTATGATGCTGTCAGACAGGTTAGGGATAAAGTTGTGGAGAAGTTTAAAACAGAATTAGGCTAATAAAAGCTTCTTTTCTTAATTCTTAAGATTTCTTCAGATTGATCTGTGATGCGTTGCTGTTTAAGCCTACTTCATGTTGTCAGGCAGGTTCTACTAAACAGACATCCCCAGAAGAATCGACTCCTCAGGGCAGCCAGTTAAACTGAACAAAATGACAACTTATTTTAAATCTGATTCAAAAAGTGAGATAATATTTTAAAAGGGTATTTTGTACGTTTTTAATATAAAATATATTTGAAAAGATCTTTCAAATAGCCCTTTTATTTGAACCTTTACGACTAAACCATCGTTTGATGCGCATACTAACACATCAGTAGTTCAGCCCAGATGCATCTATAAGTCTATAGCCTGTTTTACTGAATTTACTTTAGGTCAGCAGTTCCTGTGCTGTCTGGCAGATGTGAAATCAAGCTCGTCCATGCTGAACGGGTCTGACCTAGCAAACAATCGACGCCTGATATTCAAGATGGATCTTATTTTTCTCTAAATAACCTAATAATCCTTTAAAATTGTGACATTTTGTATTAATATAGGCTTATCTCTGTTTTTAGATGCACTAATCTACATTTTTTTCACCTCTGATCCAACTCCAATGCCTCAATTTGGACGTATGCAGATAGCAATACCTTTCTAATACCAGGGCTCTGTTTGCTTTAACAATCATCATCACTGTAGATTTTTTACTAGACTGTCATTATCTCCAGTCTGCAAGCATGATATGTAAGAATGCACAGAAGTATAACCCAAAAGGCATTTACGATTAGCAAAAGTGAGTCATAAAATTAGGTAATTCATGGACCCGTTCTATTCTGAAAATAAATATGCAGCTGTATGGATTCAGAAGAGGTAAACCTTTCTACTGTTCTAGAGATTTTGAATCTAACATTAACTCATCGTAGAAATAGACAAAATCGATCTGCCGCTGTGGATCAGGCCCATTATTATTATCAGAGATGGGAAGTAACGAAGTACAAATACTTCGTTACTGTACTCACATAGATTTTTCTGATATTTTTACTTTACTTTACTACTTATTTTTATGGCAACTTTTTACTTCTACCCCTTACATTTTTACACAAATATCTGTACTTTCTACTCCTTACATTTTAAAAATTGACTCGTTACTTTAGTTTTGAATCATTTCAATGGAGTTACCGTTATTATTTTTCACGTCATCAATACCAAATTCAGTCTAATTGGATGGGAATCTACGTTGCATTTGACGCACCACTACAAGATGAATCGACAGATTCGGCGGCATTCATTCACGGCAAATCGTTGCAGCTTGGTGGCGGTGGCGTTAGCATAGTAGCATGGACGACGAGATGATTGAAAATGAACACAATGGAGATCTAGTCCTATTGGCAGACATCTATTTAAAATGTAGGCAAAGGCATGAAAAAAGTGGTTTCTACTTTTACTTTTATACTTTAAGTAAATTTACAAGCCTGTACTTTGTTACTTTTACTTGAGTAAAGAAGTTTAATCAGTACTTCCACCTTTACCAGAGTATTTTTTAACACAAGTATCTGTACTTTTACTGAAGTACGGAAAGTGAGTACTTTTGCCATCTCTGATTATTATTATGATTCTTAACTTAGAACTTTCCTCAATATTGGGAATTTTACTGTTACTAAAAGCCGATTTGAGCACATCTACTGTAGTTGTCTGACAACCTCAACAGGGGCTACTTCTATAAGTTTTCCCTTTTCCACTCTATACATTTTTGCTCATGTGAATTATTTAGTTGTCTGTTTGTGTTCAGGTCAGAGTCATAATGTCACATCCTGCTAAGAAACGTTTGGCAGCAGCTGGCTGAACTGTTTAAACCTTCAGTTTGTGCTGGTCTTTTTTCCCCCCCACTCTGGGTTAATTGTTTATAATTAGGATTTTAATTTTCAATAATATAACCAAAAACAAAAAAAACATCAGCTTAAATAACTCATTTTTAAAGATTATGTTTTTATTTCTCTCATTTCTAGGGAGTCATTTCTAATGTTCACTGCTGCATATAAAGTTGAGATGTCATGCAATCTTCTCCAACCTCATCATTTCCCATGAGTTATTCAGAAGGGAGGGTGTAGAAATCCTGTAATTTTAAATAACCTCCACGAGAACATCTAATGGGCCTGGCTGACGGAGCGTCGTGTCCACCATGTCGGCTTTTCTCTCCCAGCTCCGGACAGTGATTTAAGTGCCTCTCTCATGCTTGTGAGAGCGAATGAGGACATCAAGTTGGCAAATTAGCATGACACTGCACTATAACTTAAGCCTATCGAACTCGGTACCATTATTCCACTGAGTAACAATAAATTACCTTCCCCTACGACCTGCTGAAGTCAAAAACAGCTCATTTGTTCAGCCTGACACTTCATTATAAATAAGGCACAAAAGAGAAAATTACATGGACTCTAGCAGAAGGGTGAAGATGAATAAACCCCCATGAATACTGGAATGAGGAGGGAATGGGTGGGAACTGAAACAAGCAGGGCTAAGACTTTCTAAAGAGGTAGGCTTATTGAGAGGCAGCTCACACTGTCGCTCTTTTGGTTTTCTGTTGGCTGTGAAGAAATGTTCCTCTGCTGCAGCTCACACAGCGGCCCTAGCAGCTAATATCATCAAACCATACAGGAACACGCAGACATGGATCCACGGTTGTTTAGAAAAGTCAATACATCAATGTTTGGCAGGTGTTGGCGGCGCATGGAGCTGGGGTTAGACCCACATAAGAGCCCTTAAAAGATGGATGCTATGATTCAGAGGACCAAGACCTGAGAGATGGAACCTCAACGCCAAACATGGCTTGCTGTTAAATATTACAGGGATCCTACACCACAGCTGTATGCTATTAATCTACATCTATGCATTATGATTCATCACTGATCAGATACACTTGTTGACTTGTATATAAGCCTTTCTATGACAAAAGAAAAAGCAAATTTCCATCCATCCATCCATTATCTGACACGCTTGTCCAAATTGGGGTCACGAGGGGTGCTGGTGCTTATCTCCAGCAGTCAATGAGCGAGAGGCGGGGTACACCCTGGATAGGTCGCCAGTCCATCGCAGGGCAACACGGAGACACACAGGACAAACAACCATTCATGCACACACACTCACACCTAAGGAGAATTTAGAAAAACCAATTAACCTATCAGTCTTGTTTTTGGACTGTGGGAGGAAGCTGGAGTACCCGGAGAGAACCCATGCATGCTCAGGGAGAACATCCAAACTCCATGCAGAAAGACCCCGGGCCGAGAATCGAACCCAGAACCTTCTTGCTGCAAGGTAGCAGCAGTGCTACAAACTGCGCCACTGAGGAGCCCAAAAAAAAAGAAGAAGCAAATTTCAATTTTTTTAAACAAACAGCCATAGATAAACATGGCTGAAATATATCTTACATGCATAAGTAAATATATAATTATAATGTAACATAGACCATTGTAGTAAAGACAATCAAATCTGATCTTTTGAATAAAAAAAGAGGGAATATTTGAAACATTTTGACATATTGGCAGCTCTGGCTAAAAGAACAATCAACCCAGAGAGATAATAAAGCTAAAAATGTACAAAAAATTATATACATCTTGCATTTAACATGACAAAGACTTATTTTCTGTAAATATTCTCAATTCAAAACCCTTTGAGAATAATTAATAAACATTAAATTGAGCATTTAACAGATTTCAGACCATTTAAAATGGGCAATATTTTTTTCTGAACCCTTGTGTATCGAGTTAATGTTGACTCACATCACTTTTTAGGATCGAGTAAAACCATAACTAGCTTAATTAGCAAAATAAGCAATGCTAGAGCCCTGTTTGAATAATCACCCACTTTAACTAATCCAAAATGGACAGGATTAAGATATTATATCAGGAAAAAAGCCACTATTCATCATCCCATAGTGTGGAATGCATCACTTATTATACTGACACAAAATCTCTCATTTTGCAGTATGAACAAAGCTATTAGGTAGAAAAGTTAATCTTTTTCTATCTGCTTTTATTTTCATGCTGTTTTATTTTATATTCTTCAAATGTTACACAGACGGTATTTCCGTTTATGCTTCTGTTTATGAGCTGACATGGTTTACCATTCCTTATGTAAAGGTCAGTGGATGTTGGTAATGAGATAAGGTGAAAATCCAAGCAGTGAAATGCCAAGTTCTCATGAGTTATTCATTCCCTTAGCGGAAATAGACTGAGAGACTAACCGTAATGTGAGAAATTCACCACAATCTACCAGGAAAAAAAAAAAAAAACATCAGATATCAACAGGACGCTGGGAACATTGTGTATTTATTCAATTAGCTGTCTTCTATTCCAGTTAATCCATAGTAAATAAATGACTGTAATTTCAATCTCTGCGTAA